TTCAGTTTGCTAAGTCTTGATGAGATGACAGCTGAGAGGTTGGGGACTGTTCCAGTAAATCCTGCAGAAACTAACCAAGCTTCTGTGTAGGCATCTAATTTTCACTTTTTTTTTGGTCATAAGGTATTTGAGAGAGCTTAAAAGATTATATACAGCCCTGGCCAGTTTGGTTCAGCTGCTAAAGTGTCAGCCTGTGGACCAAAGAGTCACAGGTTGATACCAGGCAAGAGCAGGTACCTCGGTTGCGGTTCAGTCCCCAGCCCTGGTCGGGGTCATGTGGGAGGCAACCAATCGATGAGTCTTTCTAACATGGATGTTTCTCTCTCTCTCTCTCCCTCCCTCCCACTCTATCTGAAAATCAATGGAAAAATATCCTTGGGTGCAGAATAATAATAATAATAATGATAAAAGATTATTTACAATAAAACAGAAACATATATAACCAAGTAGAGTTATAAACACTATAAAATAGAATAGAAAGTTAAGAAACAAACAGATACATTTCTCTAAGCATAAAGCTTGGACTTGGGTGAACTCCTGCCCGCCCAGTGGGTGGGCTCTCCTGGAGGCTGGAAAACAAAGACTGCTACAGAGCACAGGGCTCATTAATGATTTCTGAAAATTTATCTCTGTTAAAAGTTGGAAGGAGGTTAAGAGTAAAGTGGGTTGACTTGGAATTTGCCTCTACTGTTACCACAGTACTTAGCTAGACTTTCCTCCCACCGATCTTTTTACATTTTTCCCAGAAAAAGCCACTTGACTGGGCTCAGCATTCACCCCACGTCCACCCCTGCAGTTAGATTGGTGGCTCACAGCCACCATCTAAAAATGGGGGGATTCATGGCTGCATCTGCCTGGCGACCTCCTCCTGATCCTCCTCCCTCAGGGGTGTAAACTCCGGTTTACCACCAGGCCTCCGCTAATCCAGGCACTTTCTTGCCAGAGGCTCCTTACAGGAGAAATGCCCCCCTTTCTGTCTCCCTTGTTCCTTCATCCCCCTCTTCTGTCTTTCTCCTCTTTCTCCCCCTTCTTTTGTGCTTCATCCAGCCAGCTTTTCATGGACATGTTCATTGTCCTCCAAGTAGTAAGAGGAGCAAGAAGTGATTTGTACCCTACAGGAGCTCATCATGGGAGAGAAGGGGCATGAAACAAGGATCTGTGGTTCTGTGGCGGGTACAGCGCAGGATGAATAGGATGGTTTTACCTGCAAGAGGAAGTGATCGACCGCTGAAACATCTTTGCAGAGAAGTGAGCCTGAGGTTGGTCCAGAAAATGAGCAGCAGGTGAGCAGGTTGGAGGAAGGGTGCAGGAGTGTGATGGAGGAAGACATTCTGGGCAGAGGCAATGGTCTGTCCAAAGGCTTGGAATTGTGAAAGGATGAGGACATTGTGTGTGGTACAGAATCTGGACCATGGGGAGGAGGAGGAGGAGATGAGCTTGGAGGGGTGGATTGTACTTTAGAGAGTGAAGCCTTTAGGGTAGGGATTTTGCCCAATGGGCCACCAGAGGTCAGAGGAGGTCTTTGAACATGGAAGGTTGGCTCTTGAGATGCTCCCTCTGGTAGCAGGGAGACACTGTGGGGAGATGAACCCAATGAAGCAGAGACTGGAAGAAGCCTGGTTAGTGAGCTGTAGAGTTTGGGAAAGGGGTGAAGTGAGCTTAAACTGAACTGGCAACCTGGTGATGTAACGAAGAGGTAGACCAGATGACTAATCAATGTGACAAGAGAAAAGGAGAAAGATGTTAGGTGCCTAGACCTGAATGAGACAGAGTAAAGAATACACAGAGGACCAGCCCCCCTCCAGGAAGTCCATTTTTCTTTCATCCATTAATTTTTATTCCTCTTCTCCTTTAAAACCATTTTAAAATGCATCTACCTCAGAAAAATTGATCAATCCATGGTTTCTCATATCCTAAACTTTCTGTTTACACCCAAGTCTTTCCTTTGTTGGTATTCACTTTCCATTCATTTCATTCACAAATGTTTATTGAGGACCCACTATGTGCCAGGCACTGTATTTGCGTCTGGGGGCACAGTGGTGAAAAGACAGACAGGTATATGCCCTCACTGATGCTTCTAGTATAGAGGAGAAGACAGACAATAGGACATAATATTAAATAACCTGCTATTAAATAGTTTGTATGTGGTATGAGAGGAAGTTGGAGGGGTTGATAAGAGTCAGGTTGTATAGAACCTTGTAAATTATGTCAGGAAACATAATCTTAAGAGCAGTGGACAAAAAGCCAGCAGAGCTTAGGGTGACAGAAAGCAGAAGGCAGAATTCTGGGGTGTCTCTGAGGTTTGGGACTTGAGCAACTGAGCTGATGGCGGTGTCATACTGAGCTATTACTGCGCATTTTTCAAGTGTGCGGCATATGTTTCACATATGTCATTCTATCAGCATCACAACTACAAGTGTGGAAATATTCCAGGTACCGTATTTGACTGAACTATGGGCACTCCACACAGTGTGATAGTGCAGTAATTGCATAGGGATTTAAAAATTAATGCCATGTCACATGTGAATGTGTGCTTCTACTCTTGAGTTTAGCCATTTGTAAAAGTTGCATTTCGGGGGCAAAACACCTTGAACTGTCTTAATCTTTCCTAACTGGTGAAAAAAAGTGTTGATGGAGAAAAAACTGAAGTTGAAACAAGGAAATAAAAGCTCTTAAGAAAACGTGTCCTGTCTGCTGACAGTGTCCTGCTAGACGTTAGATGTGGGGAGCAAGATGACTGTAGTACAAGGAGGCAGTCTGTGAGCCTTGGGGACCAGGGAACAGGAACTGTTCCTGTGTGCAAGGTTAGAATGAGTGTGCCACAGTCTCCCACAGTCTCTGACTGCCTGGGTTCAGGTCAGGATTCACATGGCATCTGTGCCTGCGGTGTCTGAGTGGCAGAGTTTGTGGGGCATTCCTTGGATTGACGGAAGCCAGCAGCGCTTGCTGGAGGGCCTGGGCTGTCTCCGGAGAAGGAGAACAGGTAGAGCCGAGTGCCTGGGCTGACTCTGAAGAAGGAGAACAGGTACAGCCAGGCTCAGATGATGGCAATTTTCCATTGTATGGTGGTGATGGCCTGGGATGCCTAGAATGGTTTGTTGGCCTTCACAAAGACCCATTCCTTAGCTTAGGAGACTACATTGTAGATCCGTGGGTAAGCAGACTGCTCTCATAGTTTGCTTCCCCTCCAATGTTTTGGATACTGAAGCTTTTAGGGAAGCATTTACTGAATTGATGTACAGTTGACTCCAAAAGACTTGTACACACATATTTGAAGCAAAATATTTTTTTTTCTGCTTTGAAGATAGTCACATTATAACAAAATCTATTTGTTACTGTTATTACAAAAGAAAATTAATCAAAGATACTAACTGCTTTTAATTTTTATTTTTAAAAGTTTTTTAATCCTCACTCAAGGATACTTTTCTGTTTATCTTCACATTGAGCGGGAGGGAGAGAGAAACATCGATGTGAGAGAGACACATCAATTGGTTGCCTCCTGCACAACACTGACCACGGCTGGGGACGAACCACAACCGAGGTACGTGCCCTTGGCTGCAATCAAACCCATGACTCTTTGGTCCTCTAATTGCTGAGCCAAACTGGCCAGAGCAATAACTGCTTTTTAAAGTATATTAACAGTGGCTATAATGATGCTTTATATTAGCAATTTTCAACCCGAATGCCATGGCGCAGTGGCTGTACCGCAAGAATTTTTAAAACAACACCTGACTGTTTAGTCATGAACACTTAGATTTCCTTAGATTATCAAATTTTAAAAATGACAACAGCCAACACAACAATAGCTGTCCAGTGTGAATGAATCAAAATCATACCTATCTCTTTTTTTTTTTTTGCCAGATTGGGAAAAATATATATTTGGTGTGTGGCAAAATTTTAGTAATTAGTTTATGTGTGCCATGAAATGAAAAAAGTTGAAAATCACTGCTTTATATTGACATAATGCTTTACAGTGTACAAAAGCATTGTTACAAGTTTCCCATTTGAGATAAACAACCGCCCTGCAAAGTAAGCAGGGATCATAATGACCTTTTCACAGATGAGGAAATGGGGAAGTTGAGAAAGAGTGAGTGTCTCAGCCGCGTTACTAGGAGGAGATTTGGGACCCGAATCTCCATCATTTGACTCTAAGGACAGTGATCTCTCTCCTGCCTTTTAGATGTGAAGTCCCACAACCAAGGTGGGGATGAGGTCGTGGGCAGTGGCAATGCCATTCCCACATCTCATCTCATCGCATCCTCCCAACGCCATGGCAATTATCACCACGTCCACTGCGCCTGTGCAAACCAGTGTGCGCTGGGAGGCTCACAAACCAACCCGAGCTAGTGAGTGGTGGGCTGGGACTTGACCAGGCCATCCAACTCCTGATCTGACTCTCTTCACCAGTAGCCTGACTGTACCATCCTATGAGGACAGATCGCAATGCAAATTAAAAGTATTAGATAACAGCAATGTTAGTTTTATGGATCTACTAAACCTTCTCCACTTTTCGATAGCTTTCCTGAACATTTTTTATAAAATAAGACAAATTTGCAAGAAATCAATACTTGCCTCTTAGAAGAGAATGAATAAAACTATGGGCCTTAGCTATTCTTTGACCACAGCATTATTTGGCGCTACTTATAAGACTCTGGGACAAGATGTTTCTAATCTGGGGAATTGATGTGGCACATCGCAGTCAACTGAAGATCTTAGCGCTGCTGGCAAACTCCGATGATGATTTCTGTAACCCTGGGGCTTTGGTATACTAATTGACCAATAACATGAATATTTCATTCTTTACCTTTGAACCAATGTAGGTTTTCTCTGTATTCATTTCTTGGTTTTTCTTTATTCTATTTGTGTCCAGGCCCATGTTCTCTGGTGGGAGATGCATAACAGATACAATGAAACTTAGGGGATGAATTGTGCTGTGTTGATTAGTGTTGCTATATTTTCCAGTTTTTAAAAAAATGGCACTAACATTGCTTTTGTCCTAGATGACTGCTACCCTGAGAAACTTGGTTGATTCACCCCTAGCAAGAAGTAAGTTGCTGAGCATCAGTGCCCTTCCCCAGCTCTGCACGGTAATGGGACAGCACATGAGTGACAAGGATGTCTGCACTAATATCGCCAGAATATTCAGGTAGTCAGACCAAGGAAACAAAGTAGCCTTACAAAAGTGCCCATGCTTGGATTCAGGTCATCGTTGATATTTGTGTGTGTGGCTGGCAAGGTCCTATTTTTGCTTCTTATGTCACCTACCAGCAAATGTAAATCTAATGGCCCAAGTTTAAAATAAACAACTTAAACTAATGACTCCATTTCCTACGTATTTCTTATGTGATTCTACACTCATCGATTGTAAGTCACTTTAGTTCTTTGGTTAGTTGTGAGTATTCTAGTGTTCTAACAAAAACAAACAAAGATTGCTGTTAGTTTATTGGAGACAGAACTATATCACAAAACATGGCAAACTTTCTGATATACTTGGGAACATAACTTAAGGGTTTTAACTCAAAAAGGGGACCATTGCTGAGCAAGTCCGACCATTTGTAATAGAAGTATATTTTATTTTTGTTGATGGGCTGAAATTTGGTTCCCACATTAACTAGTCATGTTCACACCTTACTGCAGAGGTGATAATCATCTGAATCCAGGTTGCCTCAAAGCAAGATGTCAAATTTCAGAACCATCTTTAAATTATGCATTATTTTCCCTCCCTCGCTGCTCTTTGCCAGTGTTTTTACGTAATGATCCTTCTCAAGAGACCTGGCCCTTTCTTGAACTACAGTACTGTAGTTGTTTAAAGAAATGGAAAACTTCCTGGAGACTGAATTGCTAATCGACCCCAGTTTGAGAATGTGACTCCAGCTTTGGTCTCGTAGCGGCACTTTCCTGAGCTTTGTCCTGTAACTTATGTACTTATAACTCCCATTCCGAAGCACTGTAAATCCAAAGGGGTATTTTCATGTATGGTGGCATGTAGGGATCGTTTAATATTTTTCTTCCACGAGGCAAGTCAATTGTCCCAGCACCTGGTATTGACCACACCCTCCTTTTTTCCACTGATTTTAAATGCCTAGTCAATCAAACACAAGCTTCCACACACTTGTAGCTGTTTCTGGACATTCGTTTGGTCGCTCCTTGGACCAGCACCACACTGTTTTACTGGTACAAGATTTAATTGGTCTTGCTATAAGATAAGATGAATCCATCACTCTTTTTCTCCTTTAAAAAATCCAAATTCTTCTCTTCTCTTCCTTAGGAATTGGAGAATCAGCTAAGGTCCATGATAGGAACTTCGGGGTTTTCCATGGACCTACACTGAGGATGTAGAGTAATCGGGGTGAGAGGGGGAGGCTGACATCTTTATGATACTGAGCCTTTCATCCAGAAATGTTTATGACATCTTCTTTCATATCTCTTAATAACATTTCATAGTTTTCTCCAAAAGTATTTTGCATGTTTTTTGTTAGATTTATTTCTTCATGGCTTTTGCTGTGGTTGTGAATGTAATCTCTTAAAAAATTGTTTTTAATAGATTGCTGCTGGTGTCTATGAATAGTATTGACATTTGCTTATTAAGTATCCAGGGATCTTGATGACTATTAGGTTTAAGAGTTTATCTATAGATTCTCTTGGAGAAAAAAATTTTCCCAATTATTACAACTCTTCTTCCACATTCCCACCTCTTCCTTCTCGCATTGCTTAAGATGCCCAGTACCTTTGAGAGAGTGTTTTTTCGCCTGCTGCCTTTATCCTGACTTTATAGGAAATATTTTTTGTGGTTTTACTAGTTGAAAATAATATCGGTTGTAGGTTTTTATAGATACCCTGTGGAAGGTTAAGGAAAAAATTTCTCTACTAATGGCTGCTCAATTTTCTTAAACGCTTGCCCTCAATCTATTTTGATTCTGTGGATTTTCTTTTTTAAATTCATTAATGTAGTTGATTACATTAACATATTTTCTCATGTGAAACCATTACATTTTGCTAGGTTTGTTTCACTAATATTTAGTTTAGGACTTTTTTTATTTATGGTCATGAGTTAGGTTGACCTGTACTGTTCCTTTGTCATATTGGCCTTGTCTGGTTTTCATGTCAGGTTTATGTGAGCTCATAAAATAAATTGGAAAGCATTCTGGCTTTTTCCCTTTTCTAGAAGAATTTGTGAAAATAAACTTACCGTTTTCTTGAAAAGCTATTTTATTCGTGTGTGTGTGTGTGTGTGTGGTTGACTACTGAGTCACAATCTCTAATGGTCACATACCTAATCACATTTCCGATTTCTATTTGTGTCAGTTTCAAAAAAATTTATATTTTTATATGGATTTTCTCATTTTATCTAAGTTTTCAAACTATATAAAGTTGTCCCAAATATCCTCTTATCCTTTCCATCTCTGTTGCATCTCTAATTGTGTCCCCTTTTATTTATTTTTCTTATTTAACAAAGCATTTTATAGTGCCTACTACATGCCAGGCAGTAGTCTAATCACTTGCCAAATACTAATTCATTTACTCCTTATAACAACTTTAAAAGATAGGCACTATTGTTATTGTCTTCATTTTACACATGAGGAAATTGAGGCACAGAGAGGTTTGGTAGTTCTTCCAGGGTCACACAGCTGGAAAATCACAGAGCTGCAATTCAAACCAGCTAGTCTGGCTCTGGAATTCATTAAATATTATTTAACTGCCTCTTCATTGTTAATGTTGATTTTCATTCCTAATTTTGATTGTTTATGTTTCTCTTTTTTTAATCAGTCTTGCCAATTTTTTTCTATTGTTTGCAGAACCAATAGATTTATTGATCTGCCTTATCATATGTTTGTTTTCTCTTTTATTCCTTCTGTTCTTATCCTTATTAATCCCCTTTATCTACTATCCTTGGGTATATTTTTCTTCTAACTGTTTTAGTTAGAAACGCAATCCGTGTCTTTTTAACCTTCTTAAGGCTATAATTTTTTCTAACTACTGCTTTAGCTACATCCCACAAATTTTGATTGGTAGTATTTTGTAGTATTTGTAGTATATCCAAGTGCTTTTTTTTTTATTTCCATGTTTCTTTGACCCAAAAATTATGTTTATGAATTTCCAAGAGTATGTTTTTTAATGTATTTTTTAAATTGATTTCCAATTTAATTTCACTAATCAGAGAATGTGATCTGTGAGACACAAATTTTCTAAAAATTTACTGAGACTTGTTAACAACCTGGTACATAGTCAAGATTTTTTGTTTTTGTTTTTTGCATTTCTGCAGCAAACTTACTACTTACCGCGACTGCTGTATTGCCTTGGCCAATTATTCCAGATGTTATGCCTTGTTTTTGAATCTGATAAACAAATACCAGAAGAAGCAGGTCAGTTCTTCATGCGTTTCATTTTCCAGTGTGTCTTTGTGACGGTGTGTTCATGTAAGCCCCTGTTGAATGACTTTATGTTTTAAATGTAAAGGTTTCTATTGCCGCTTGTATAGAATGTATCGATGTATAATGGGCTGCCCCAGGAGGCAGGGTTACCTGCAGGAGCTGGAGAGGGTAGTAGTTTGAGACAGAAAAGGCCTCAACAACATATCAATGTGGTAGGAAGTTTCCTGGTTTAGGAAAGGGAGGGGTGGGACTACCACAGGGTCGTTCTTCCCAGTGATCTGCAGATCCCTACATGAGAATCCCCTTGGGGTGAGGTGTGGGTGCACTTGTTACTTCCAGACCCTACCCCAATCCTACTGAGTCAGATGGGTGGGGAGGGGCCTGGCCATCTGCACTTCAACAAAAACTCTAGGGACTTCTGATACAAATTGAAGTTTGGGGTACCCCTACACTGGGTATACTCAAAAAATTCTTCTAGCACTGAAATTCTCAAATTCTTTGACCTTGTATTTAGAAAATGAAATTTCTAGGTAAGTACTTAATGGAAATAGTTTGGCTTTAATGGGTTGGGCAAAAATGTATATAGTTGTTTAAATAAAGGAAAAACTCACAAAGATTTCCCTTTAATAAAAATATAATGCTCAGCACAGTTTTATTCATCATTAGAAATGATTAAAGTGACATCAATTCTTTAGACAGAGACAATTCTAATGTCTTTAGAGGAGACATTTTATAGACAAAGATATGTGCATTCCAAATGTGGTAAATTTTCAAAATCACGTAAGTTTCATTAGTTAACAAGTAGGTTAAGTGTATACAAAGAACATGTATGTTTGTTATTATTCTATTAACGATATCAAAGCTACCTCAAAACATAATCTCTGTTTGCCACAAATAGCACTGAGCTTATTTTTGCCTGACCAAGTACTTCTGCTGGGAATGGCAAAACCTGTCAGATGTTACACTGTTATTAGTAATTTACTAAAAGATTACAGGTCTCTTTTTGGTTATAAATGACAGAGAAAGTGTAATGCTCTTATTATATCACTAGTACATTTTAAAGATGATAAAACCTTGCTTAAAGGGTTGTTTTATTTCATTATTAAAAACTCACTTTTACTTATTTTTATTTTTATTTATTTTAACCCTTACCCGAGGATATATTTTTTTTTACATTTATCTTCAGAGTAGGAGGGAGAGAGAGAGAGAGAGAGAGAAATGTCCATGTGAGAGAGACACATTGATTGGTTGCCACCCACACGACCCCAATCAGGGCTGGGGACAAAATGCAACTGAGGTACATGCCCTTGACCGGAATTGAACCCTGGACTCATTGGTTCGCGGACTGACACCCTAACCACTGAGCCAAACCGGCCAGGGCTAAAAATTTATTTTTAAATATGCACTTAAGTTTCTGATTCTGAGTATTTGGTTTACAAAGGCTTTCCCCTATGCATTTTATATTTTCTCTAAGTTACATATTTTAAAAGATTTCAAGATATAAGAATTTGCCATGTCACAGAATGAATTTGATTAATCTACCTTAAAGTATTTACAACCTACTTTCATGTAAGTGTCCATTAAGCGTTTATTAATTTAGATTTTGGTACAATATATTATCAGAACTGAAATCTTTGGACAAGTGAACTATCTCCATGAAAAGCTTAGGCACACCTACTGGTTTTCTTTTTTAAGGAAAACATTAAAATGGTAGAAAAGATAGTTAAGTGTAACATTAAATTGTAGATTATAAAAAAAGATTTTGTTGTGGATTTTTATTGTAATTTTATTTCACCATCATTATTCTTTTTTGCTATGACGTTTTAATTGTGCATGACTTACATGACTGTAGGTGAAGAAGACCTCTTTGCCTTGCACTAGAATTTTCAAATGTGGATGAAAGAAAGCACTTGTTTTTAACAGTTTGATTTCAAGTTGTCATAACTTATTGTTCTTTAAAGAGAAGGAAAACCCATCAGTCGAGTACTGATAAATAGCCTTATGGCATTACTAGTAGATACTGTTTGTTTCTCTGATTGAAGCTTCAATGAAAGCCATGTTTAATAAACAGACAGAAGCTCTGGCATCCTGCCAATATGAGGGTGTCAACGTGGTACAGTGTTAGTAAGCTTTTCCTGGTTCCTGAGACTAAATGACTTGAAGTTTAATTGGCATAAAATTTTACCTGAATTCTCACTGAACTGCTTTTTCACCTACGTCCAGTAGTTATCTGCAAAGCAAAACTGGTATTTAAAAGTCATGTTTTTCTCTGTTGATTTATATTGCAATTTTGTGTTTCTATTAAAATTATTTTGGCCCCGAGAACAAAGAGCACCTTGCAAACTATGTGCAGTAACATGCTGTTTATTCAGAACCATCAAGAAAATGCATAATGTATCCCCTTGATCACCAAACTTGTTTTAATCATTATGGTGAAAATCATATTCAAATTTATTACAAAAGATATTAAAAATAATTTAGCCTCTTCTTGATTCTCTAAAGGCTCTTGGTCCACACTGGGAGCATGAGTCTATTGATAAATGTTTTTGTCTTCTTTTCTGTAGATTTCTCTCTTCCCTTTCTAACAGTTGTTACCTCTGTCTTTGGTTATGGTTACCTGCTTATAATTAGTAGGTGAACATTACAACCAAATGTGTTAAAAGTAACACCTAAAAAGTCTAAATAAAGTAAAATTGAATATGAACAGGCCCTTAGCGAGAAAGGCCTAAGGGACTCTGATGCAGTTTCTCTTGTCACTTCTCATCCTTGAATGAATTTATATTTCAAGATGTACCTCTCATGTCCACTTGTCGGTGAAGCCTTTCAAGACCAGTCATTTCCTCCCTCATCAGTGTGTCATTTTAAAGACTTGAATGTAGCTAGTACACCTAGCTAGTACAGCCAATGCTAAAGATTTCAGCAGTATGCCTGTGATCTGAACAACCACTTCATTGCGATTAAGAAAAATTATCCAAAACTTAGAAATAGGGTGTGGTGGGGAGGCTGCATGTCCGGACAGAGTCATGCTGGGGCACTGTTTTAATGCACAGGGCTTAATTCTTGAGAATGTATCTGTGTTTAAACTTGCTATTTACTACTTCATTAGAACCCAGACACCATAAAATTAAACATTCATTTGTAGATTTCTCTCTGGTAGACAAGATAACCTCAAAAGTTAGGGTTGTATTACCCTGTAGGCCAGCGATTTCAGCCTTTTTCATCTCATGACACTTATAAACTGATTAAAATTCCGTGACACACCAAAAATATATTTTTTTGCCAATCTGACTATAAAAATAGGTATAAATTTGACTCATTCACACTGGATGACTATTGTTGTGTTGGCTATTGGTATTTTTTTAATTTGACGATCTAAGGGAAAAGACCCAACTAAATAGTCAGGTATATTGCATGTTTTTAAAATTCTTGGCGCACACTGATTGAAAATCACTGCTGTAAACTATCAGCCAGGTGTGTTTCTAACCTAGTAATTTTATCCCAACATTCTTTTTAATTATTATAAACACTCAGTTCTTTGATTGTTCTTGGAACCAACTTTACCATTGTATTGGATCCTTTATTAACAAGATAATATATTTTTTAATGTGTTAATTTTATATTTGTATGAGAATCGTGTTGTTAATTAACTTTCCTAAAATTATACTTTGACTCTATACTTGTACTAAAGAATAAAATGTTATCATTTTGAACCATCTTTGGTTTTTTTTGTCTATAAGAGGAAACAGATACAAAATTTATATTTTCCTCAAAACCAAACTATTTTAGAAGAGCTGGGAAATTGTTCAGGCTACAAGGAAGTTGTTATGTGTCCCAACTACTTCCTAAAATCGTTAACCAAAAGTTCCCATAGATCTTTATAAATACATATTTCTTTTGTGATTCTCCAAATGGTTATCATTTGTGTAGCCGCCTCGCCCACTCCTGGGAGCTCCCAAAGGACATCTTGATAAACCTGAGCTGATGCTTGACATAGTAGGCTCATGATAAGTGTTTAAAGAATGAATTTTGAGTATGTGAAATGTTTTGAAGTCAGGAAAGTATTATAAAATGCTTTTTCTAGTACTCTAATACTTCTTCCATAAATATTTACTTTCTTCCTAGTTTGGAAGAGGAAAAAATAATTTCCCCCACACTTTTCATATTGGCGGGCTGTTTTGCGTAACAGCAAAACAGGCGCGATGGGCTTTAAGTTACTTCAGATCAGCACAGCATCTTAACCTCACATTCCCCTTGGCCCAGGTGGCCAGTTGAACACAGTTTGTTTTTCCCCCTTTCCTAGAAAGAAAAGTAATTTCCAGAAATTCTGTACCATAATCTGATGTGAGTGGATGAATCTGTGGTGACTAAAAACTTGGCTACACCTAAGGGTTACTTGAACAGTTGAGGCTTGGAACTGACCTTTGAACCATATATCAGCCCTCCAGCTACTTTTTAAATAGAATGATCACTTCCTATAACTATTTTTGTTTCAGCTCCAGGAAATGTTTCTGCAACACTAACTGTGGGTTATAGACGTCGACTTTAGAAGGTTTGTAGTCTCTTAATATACACAGAGCTACCACCAAGTGATTAAAGAGTCAGAAAGGAGTCTTTACACCTTATCTTTGTTCTGGGGCTTAGTGTTGCTTCTGTCTCAAAAAGCCTGAAGACTACATTTGGGATCAGCAGAGATTTCATTTTTCTGAGGCTCACTTTTCAGTTAAATCATGTTTATGGCTAACTATATTTTCAAAGAACAGAAGCAGATACCTAAGAAAGAGAAAGAGAGAGACAAGAAACCCCTCTCTAGTAATAAATGAAATACCTTACACATACCTCTTTAAGTGATCTCACCATCGGGGTGAGGAGCTTGGCAGGAAACTGACCAGCCGCTGCCACAGTCCAGCAATGGGAAAATCTTGCTTGGAACCAGGGCTGCTGGCTGCTGGGAGAAGTAGAATATTTATTCCACTATCTTCTGTTGCTTCCTA